AATTAAGTTAATTAATTCTGTTCAATCATATATATTTTAAAATAGATTTCATTATTAATTTATTTGCTTTTTGTATTCATTTTTTCACTATAAATAAGATCTCTCTATTCTGTAATTCTAACCTCAGATCTGAATACTTTAAATAATAAAAACAATTATAAGTTATAAAATTAAAACTTATTCATATTGTATTTTATCTTATTTACAACCATTAACAAAATAATCTTACACTAATAATTAAATAAAAAAGATTTAATAGAATATTAAAAGAAATATTAAGAATTATATAATATATAAATAAGATTAATAAAATAAAAATCTAGTAATAGTTAAATTTATTTATAATAATAGTAAGCTTCTATTAAATATATATTTTTTAAGATAGCTTATTAATTATTAGCTTATATATTAATTATTATTCTTTAATAAGAAATAATATTATAATCTTTCAAGAATTTATAGAATATTAAAATAATATAATTAAAATTAATAAAAATTTATTATTAAAAGAATAAGATGATAAATAAAATATATAACTCAATATAAAAGATATAAAAAATTTTTTATTAAAAATTAAGTTCTTCTTTTTACTTATAATATTAATAGTTTTATTTATAAATAAAAATTAACTAAGAAACTTGTATCTAAATTTATTATATTTTTTAGAATTATTAATAAAATCTCTCTTATTATTTATAAATTGAATTTATTTTATAATAAAAATATTTTAAGTAAAGAATATATAATAAATTTTAATTAAATTATAATTTTTTTAAATTAGATCTTTATTTTATACTTTTTGTATTTTACTTATAAAGCTTTTATTACTTTTTTTAAAGATCAATTTATATAAATATACAGATAATTATTATATATTAACTTAATTAGATTAGTAAATATAGTTATATTAAGATAATTAATTTATTAATTATAAATCAATATATATTTTAGATTATTAATTTATTTACATTTTGTATTTTTTATTTTATATAAATATATCACTCTATTTTATACTTTTAATCTTAGACTTAAATATTATTTAAATAATAAAATTATATATATTTATAAATTAATTTGCATTTTATTTTAGTTTATTTATAATCATAAACAAATAATCTTATAATTATAAAGAGCTAATATAATTTCTTAATATTTATTGATAATATAATAATAAGTAAAAATATCTGATCTCTTATAAATTTCTATATTAAAATTTTTTGGTTTAAACTTTTTAAAATAATTAAAAATTACTATATTAAAATTTAAATATTTTTATATTTCTAATAAAAATTTAATAAAATTAATAAACTAGTTATTAAAAAATTAAAATCTAGTATTTGGTATTAAATTATTTTTATATATATAATAAAATTTAATAAATTAAAAATTTTATTTCTTAACTATTTTATTAAATTATATTAAATTTTTTATTACTAATATAAAAAATTTATTTAAAATTTATTAATGGATTAATATTCTTTATTTATATAAAAAATTGATTTTAAAATTCAGCTCTTATTTAAACTTTTTAAAAAGTTATAGAGAGTTAGTTACTTTTAATTATTATTATATTATATTTAATTCTCTAGTTATAAGAAATTAAATAATATTATTATAACATATTCTGTTAACGGATAAGATAATATATCTATTATATTAACTAAAAGAAAATTTCTAATTTAAGTATATCATATATGATCGTGTGTCTGTGAAGCGGCAATGGTTACCGTTACTTTTCAAAAAATAACGATATGCGTTTTCAAATTTTATGTTACACGACATGTTGATCTTGCGTTTTTTAATACCGAAATCACATGATCAGACATTTTTTCGCCATGGGTATTATGGTTGGGGGAGGTGAGCCTTATAATTACCTGATAAATGGCACACCCTAAATCCAATCAAAATACCTCTGAATAATTACAAAAAGTGCGACTATAAACTATCTTTTTCTTAGTTATTTTAATGATAGGAAAATCAAATTGGATGATTATCAAAAAATGTTTTAAAGTCAGATTTTCATAAGAAATATAATAGAGCTCGTGTAAACAATACAATCAAATTGGAGATAACGATGAATCTACCCAAGCTCAAGAAGCTCTCGTTTTAATGAGTAGTGTATAGACGGAAGTTTGTAATAATCAAATTTCGTTAGACATGTATAAGGCGTTAAAACTGCAGATACTATAGAGAATGTTCTTAGCATACACTTAGTTATGATTGTACATAAAAAGGTAACTTTTTTATATATAATTAAATAAACGACAATCAACAACGATAGAGGTATGGTCCAATTTTAATTATTTATGCTGATATAGTTATGAAAAGTTTTCTGTTGTAAACAGAACGTGATTAAGTAAAAAAAAATACAGTCATTTAGTCGTTTTTGGCGTCTGGCTAATATGTTAACTGAATGATTTCTATCTGTTTGTAGGCGAAATTTAATGAATTGTGCAGAGTGAGCTCGAGACATTGTTTTCTCCAGCAGGAGAAGGCACATTGCTTTGCACAAAACCTGATCACAATACTGTGTTTCACACTTGTAGATGAGAAAAGAATTCTAGATTTTGTTGATCCCGGTTACTTTTGGACTGAAAAGCGGTGGAAAGTAACATATGAAAGAACTAGAAAAGGAAAAAAAGATGCACGACTGACTGAGTCAATTCCCGAACATGGTTTGGGACTTTTAGCGTTGTTGCTGTCGACACAAATATAATTGCAGTTATTACTTCCTTCCACAGCTTGAATCAAAGTTACCTTTCTTGTATTCTGATAAAATGGTTTGAAGGCAGACTTCAGCATTAATGAAACTAGCAAGGAGAGAGATAATCATTAAAAATCGTGCCTTAATCCAGTATGTATAACATGTCGATATGTAGTTTTTATTCGTTATAACAAGATTTGTTTCACGACAAAAATCTAAATTATTTTAACTGTAATACATGTATGACTCACACAATGCACCTTTTTGTATAACGATAAGGTTCTCACCTCTCTTTGAATCAATCTTTACCTATTATGACGATAAAATGTACACAATTCATTGAGAAGAATATCAAACCAAATTTATTACGATATACTGTATCTCCAACTAAAAGATGCATAGCATGATTTAACGTTACGGATGACATCAGAAAGAATTTTTCCTAAAATATACATTCTATTGTCGCTTTTTCTCACATGTATAATCTTTATTTTCACATCTATGGACAATACTATCACTTTTGAGAAATCAGATTACATGCACAATGAAAAGTTTCATTGATGAAAGAAGATTTATTTGTGTAATACTAAAAATTATATCGATATTTTTTGTATGATACCAAAAAGCGTTAGTTATCGTTAGTTTATACAGAACTTTTTAATTATGCCGAAAATATTTTTACTATCAACACGACAACTTGTAAAATCACTATTATAATATAATGTAAAGATTATGAAAATAATGTTAACATAATCCTTGGGGGGGGGGATTAATAACGTAAAAACGCGCAATATAAAGACTTGCGTCTTTCCCTTTAACAAACAAAGTGTTATAATTATAAATTATTTACGATTGTTTATTTTTTTCGCGGAAAATTTACAAGTGATGGAATGTTTACTTGATTTGAATGAGAAAGAAAAAAAACTGATATTCACAAGATATTAGAATTATTCTAATCTCAAATGCTAGCATGCTAAATAAATGCCTATTTTTTAAAAGAATTGAAATTGCAAATGTTCATTTTTCGGAGAATATTTACTTTTGATTAAAAATTTTTTGACTACATATTTACTTTTTTCCAAGTAACAGAATTCGGGATATTTTCAGAATTATTACTACGTTAAAAAAATTTTCAACAATAATCGAGAATGACGAGTGATTAATTTTTACCGAACAGAATCAAGTATCGCGGTAGAACGAGCTATAAAAGAAGATTAATAATTAGATTAAAATATGATAACGTTTAATAGTATATAATAATAATAATAATAATAATAATAATAACAATAATAATAGCATGTAATCTACCTCATCTTTATCAACTGCGACTATTGGTTCAGTGTTAGTTGTCAACACATCCACCCAAAACATTGCCTGTAATTTCGATCCATTACAATATTGTAGTGCATTTTCTGAATTGTCAGAGAACCACATACCTAACAATAAAGAAATATACGAATGAGGTTTAGTTCAGCTAAATAAGAAATATGTGAATGAATGAGTTAATACTTACTCCCGCTAGTTTTTGAGTTTGACGTTCGATTTCCATGGGAAATGATTCCGCACATGCCGCATAATTTTTCCTTACAGAATGTGGGGTTACCACCAGTAATAATTTTCGATGGATCACATATACTCTTTGTTCCATGATACATTTTTCGTGAGATTTTACTCTTATCATCAGCTCCTTGGGATTTCATCATCTTCTCTCTTGCAGTAAAATGACGATTTGTGATTTCAGAGGACATTTGTAATCGTAATATAAATTTGATCCTGTATGATTTTAGATTTTCTTTGAATTTTGTTGATACTTTATTGTAATCTGAATCATTCTTATCTAATATCACTGCACGTGTCTCTAAAAGTGTTTCAGTCTCCTTCCAGAAACATTCTGGCGAGCAGTATGCATTATACCTCTTCGCTCGCTTATTCTTCGTCATTGTTTGCCTTCCACATCCAGTTCTCGAACATTCTCTAGATGGAATGTTCTTATCAGTTGAGGTGGTGGTGGTTGTAGACGTTGAAGACATTTTTTTCTTTTTCGATTTCGCCTTTATCGGTTGAATATCGTCGTCCTCTAGATCATTTTCATCAACTGCTTCTCTTTTCAGTGACATTTTCCTTTCTGGTTCTTTTGGAGAAGAAGCGATTTGTTGCTGCTGTTGTTGATCATTATTATTTTCACTAGTGGTGGTATTATCAACAATATTGCTATTACTATTATTGATACTTTTGGTATTCTCCAGTGCTGGACCGATCGACATTGCTGGCGATAAAGTGTTATTGTCCTTTATAACATAAGGGACAATCGATTCCTCTAATTTATTTTCAGGATAATTGACGATTGATGTCGTTGAGTCGTAATTGTGTGTTGGTGTTTCCGGCATTGTTGTAGCAGACGAAGGGATTGGTGAGTCGGCTGGGTCAAGATTTGGTGCTTGATTTGTATCAATTGTTAAAGGGGACGGTCCAGCTGTTGGTGTGGCCATTCCAGAAGTCAAGGTCGGCATTCCCATAGTCAAAGCGGGAATTGCCGCTGTAAACGCCGGGGTACCTGACGCTGTGGTGGGGGTCGTTCCGGCATGTGACGATATTGGAGACATCGGTTGTGATCCTTGTTGAATATCATTTGTGCCACAATACGCGCCACAACAGAATTTAAGGAGTTGACCATTGTTTATTTGACATGGATTCCGACATCCATATTGATTACAAAGGGGTATGTCGTTACTCTTATTGTTGTGAACGATCTGTTGAGGATAGGTCGTAGGGTAGATCGATTGAGAGTAACTCGCACAATTCGAGCAACTGACACCACCATCACAATAATTATTCGGACATGGTCTCATATAAAATGAAAATTCGTTGTTTGGATTTGCATTTGGTGGTGTTGTCATTTGTTTGATCTGATAATTTTGTTGTGGTGCCATTATTTGATTTTGTACAAATGGACAATCAGTAGTGGTTGGTGTGGGTGGGGTTACTGCTTGATTCAAAGATGATGACTTTAGATCTTGTGTTGCATTGTTATTGAAATAATTATTGGGAGCATATCCACGAATCGCTTGCTCATGATACATATTATTGAAATAATTGTCGCGTTGACGATTAAATAGAATCGATCTCGAGGCTAACTGGGACTGTTGTTGTTGCTGCTGCTGCTGCTGCTGATGAAGAATGTAATCTTGATTGTATGCCATTTGATCCTGTGATTCAGAAAATGGAACTGGCTTCAAATGATTACAATCATTACAGAATTCATCAGGACAGCCTGGTTGTCTACATAATGATGGTCGATGAGTAAGAGAATAATTCCGTGGAGATGTGACCAACACCCTTCGATTCTCAATAAATTGATTATTTGGATTGATCATGATGTTGCTGTTGTTGTTGTTGTTGTTGTTGTAATTATTATAGTTGTTATTTATTATTAGATTGCAAGTGCCAGCGTTTTCATTCTCCTGATTAATTATCATATTATTTACGATTGATGGGAAACCAAGATACTGTTGAGGATGATGATTCGGAGTCGGATATTCTGCTGTTGGTGAGGAAACTGCCGTTGTCGTTGTTGCAACAGCGGGAGGAAAAGTTTCCGTGAGACTTGTTAACATATGGCCATAGCAAAGTCTGTTTGTGTATCCATTCTGATCACTTAACGATAAGTTTCTACATCCTGGCGACGCGCATGTTATTGGTGGATGAGCAATCAACTGTTGTTGCCCGAGACTTTCTAATATCTGTGACAGATCCATCGTCAAAGTTATGGTTTCAGTCGGTTCGATGTCGTTTATGTCGCGTTGATTGTTTTCTGTCCGAATAAAGTTGAATCAAAAACATAAATTTTCTGTTGACATGAAAAAATTCACCTTGGGAGGACAAAAAAGATTTAAACACAAAAAAATGTGGAGAAAAAAAGTTTTTTTTTGAGCAGAGGTTCGAATTTTGTATTAACTTGAGCTGTCGAGTGCAGAAATTACCAGATTCGCCTATTTAAATGGGATCGGCAATAACTTGTATTGCATTTAATAATTTTTATTACCCGGAAATTTTGGTACCGACGTCCGCCTACTTTATCTTTATATAAAAAATTATTTATAATAAATTAAAATTTATTTAATTTATTTATTATAAATATAATGAGTATTTATTTATCCCATTACAGTTAGTAAATTCGTATTGATATATGACACATAAAATTTGTCATTACCCGATTTGCACAACAATGCGCTTAAATTTTTACTGCATTGACTGCGCCATCTCGCCAAGTATTTCCTGTTTATCTTACACATATTACACAAACGTGTGTACGTGTGTCATTATTATGTGCTTGCGTATCTTTTTATTATGCGTATTTTTTAACGAAACCGGTCCGGGGACCTTATCTGTTGTAGAGATGACAGCCACATTGTGAGTCGGCATGGGCCGGAACTCAACGCTCGAATCTATTCTGGGCGCACATTTGCTTTCACATGGTGAGATCAACAGAGAACTTGAATATATATGTATATTGACTCTATTATCAAATCATTCTGTTATTTCTGGATTGATGGATGATACATTCTGTTGACGATCACAAGATCTTACATATATACAATATTGGATACAATTGCTATTTTATTTTATTTAACTTTTTCCCACGGGAATAGGAGAAATTACACAAAAAACAAAACGGAAAAATCCAAAACTCGTTGGGTCAAAATGCGTACGCCTGTCCTTTTTCCAAACAGAAAATTTTTCATGCATGATTATTAGAGCTATTTTAATAGCGAGAAACGGGATGATCCGACCGGATATTCTCCATGTATGGGAATGATATTCGGGAACGTAGGATATAAATTCGTGATTTTTTTGCATCTTTTATACTCATTCTATCATTCTCGCGTAAGAAGTTATAATTCTCTCTCATTGAGACACGAAAAGGGGTGAAGAAAGAGAACAGAAAACTGATCAAAGGCGAACCAATTAAACAAGGGAAAAGGGTTTCAGAATGAAAGATTGACGCCAAACTTTAAAAAAACCACCAGAATTCTATCCCGAATAAACGAATCACCGAACGGCAACTGGGCACAAATTAGAAAAAGGAAAAAATGAATAATGGAATGGCATGACAGCATATAATATAATCAAACTGATCCCAATTTTTTGACCTCGTTTTATTTTGGTTTTGTGATATCTTTGCCAAAAATAGCGGTGAGATAAACAAGCTGACAAACAAGTTTACTTTCCCCTGTAATAATCTGAATAGTTTTTAATCTCTTTATTTATGCGCTTATGTCAGGAAAAACACAATGAAAAATTTCAATAAAATAGAAATCTCGAATCAGCCCCCGTTTGAGAATTTTCTTGTAACCTTTCCAGTATCCAGGGTCATCAAAATAATCGATAATTTTAATAAACATTCGATGGACAATTATAGATAATAAGCACGCACGCATGTATCCTTTCACAATCTGTTGTTTGATGTACGTACGTACGTAACTTTAAAATTTATGACACACGAAATCACAAGTGTTTTAGCGAAACTCCTTTTAAGAATCTGAATGAATTCTATAGACTCGCATTAATAACAATCACGATTTAGAGAATTCTTAAAGTCCCATTTATGCAAATTCCTTTCGTTTTTCCAACCAATACCGTACGTGATACGCATACAGCAGCTCTATTGAAAAAGGCTAATTCCGCATGCTGCTTGCAAAAGCCCAGATTAAAAATAAACACACAGGGATCAGAATTTTCCATAAAGAATCTAGGGAAATGGGGAAATAATCTTCCTGACGCATATTTTTGATGATGTTGATTATTAAAAGGTGACACAAAATGAAAGCCATTCATTAAGGTCGCTCAGCATTCTTTACTTATACTAATGGGCTTAGCCAATAAGATGACAAAAATTGCGATTTTAACTTTTTTAGGGAAAAAATGATAAATAACGATAACGATATGCATCAATCAATTTAAATGTCACGCTCCCGTATGTTATATTATTTGTTTGAAATCATGGGGTAAAACTTTAATCTACAACGCATGTATGCATGACACTGCATACATACTTAATTCAAACAGTTAAAACATTCCTTCTCTTGTCTCCGCCTATTTCTGCCCTGTTTCCCGATAATTTTTTTCTTCCCATTTTGCTCTCAAACTTTCCTGATCCCGGCAGGTTGTACCACATCTCGTTAAACAATCCAATAAGTTTTCGTCTTTCCCATTGTATAACTAATAGAGGGCATGACAAACACACAAATAACAAAAAGGAAGTCTACGTTCCGTAAATAATAGACTTTTACGGACAAGACGGGATCAGAACCCGATTTGATTAGCAGATGCATCAATGTTTTGTTTACATGCTCTGTTCAAATGTTAACTATTGTAACCGCTTATTCTTTTGTAAAAAAAAAAGAAAATCAAAAGGAGTTTGAGAAAATGATACCAGGAATGAGAAATTTATTTATTGTTTTGATCATGAGAGAAAACTGTAAATTAAGCTTGTATCGTGCACACAAAGGTGCATCCTTTTTTCGAGAATCAAATTAAAATGTATCGTGCCAAGGAGTCGAATTATTATTAGAATCTCTTGATTTATTTTAATACACAAGCATTTTATTAAAATCGTTACGCAAAGTAATCAGAGTCTCTAAAAGCATAGATTCGGACCTTGAAAAACCTATCGTTATCGTTATCGAATCATTCGTTTTAACATTTAATTATACTGTATATGTATTATGTATTGCATGTTGCATACGCACCGCCTTTTTAATAAAATCTTTACAGCAGTGTTAATCTTTAATGACGCATACTGTAATTCGTAATACGGCGTGTACCTTATTTAGTATTTTGGGTGCACAACATCAAACTGAAAATATCGCAATATTACTTAAAGTTGTTTTACGATCACGTCAGAAGGCGACATGACTAATCATTACAATACATTCCGAATTAGAATCTTATGATTCAAAACTCCATGTACGAATGCGTCACAAACCTGCAATAAATATTGCCCTTTTACTATTGCATGTTTCCAACGTTTGAAATCATTTGCATTGCGAGATTTTTTAATCATTCCACCACCTTGTGAGTTGCCTTTCAGATCTTATCGTAATAAAATGCCAAGACACGATCTGGGATAACGATGATTGGATGCTTATCGCGCGACACAACCTTTTTTTACATGTAATCTAGGAAAAACACCTCGGAAATGAAATATTAAATAAGCATCTTTTAATGCATAGCCATGCGTTATACAAATAAGTTCATTAAAATCAAAGACTGTATGCGTTAAAAATAACGAATTCTATTTGATTTCTTGCAGTGCATTTGCTATAAACTAAAGAAACTACGTAATGACATGATTAACAATTTTATTCGTGTCCGATACGTTGAAATGATTCGTTGAACGAGAAAATTAAAGGACTTATTTCTGTCTGTATGTGTATGTATTAGGTCATCTGGCTGAGTAAGTCGTCCGTCCGGCTATTAAAAATTCCAAAGATAATAATGATTATGAAAAATAACGGAAAACCATTCCAGGTACACATGTATCATCATTAAATTGCGACATGCACTTCGCCTATCGCTATCGCTATCTCGCATGATTACTATCGCTATGAATATCTAAATCGATAATAATTGCATTTAACCAAAGGATATGTGCATGATTATTATAATACATTTGTGAGCCTCATGATGAGTTCAGAATAAGCTTAAAGATTATACGTTCGTACATATCTTTGATAACAAACATTTGACTTGGACAAATTCCATAATTTAAAATTCTTCATCTTGTATGAAGAATGTACTTTTACGCAATAATTTGTTAAATAAGTCAAAGCATAGATTTTCAAGAAACATTCTTTCAACTAAATAAACTTCCTGTTAAAAATTACGGGATACACCTTACACGTATCGGTATATTACTTTAAGTAATCAGCTATGATTATTACTTGAACCATGCACTCTTGTTTTTAACATAAGGCATTTTGAGTTTGCCTTAATTTGATTTAACGTTTGCAAGTCAACCTCTCTATAATGACATCAATTACTATAGAAGGTCAATTTTTTCTATAATTTCTCGGTTTGTCACTATAAGGAGGTTTCATTAGAAAAAAATTGCGTCATAAGGAAGTTGACTTGTAGCAGTGTATATCATACCCTTCAAATTTTTTAAGTAAAAAAATATTTCTTCCGCAAAATAAATAATTCAAGTGCCCTCGTGCAATGCTTCAAAAATCCTGCCATTTAATTAACCTCAAATCGAATAATTTAAATTTAATATAAAAGCTTCTGCAGGGAAGGTATTATACATCGCTAAACGATAGAGTACTTGGATATACTGGAAATTCTGTTGTATTAAAATTAATCCTGGCTACGAGTTTTTTAAGAAGACGCAAAAAATCCAAAAGTGTCAACTACTTGAAAATTAATTTTATCAAAGAGATTTGAGGCATATTTGCAATTATTGTAGAGGTATGTATAACTAAAATATTTTATTATAAAATTTGACAATTATTGATATAAATTATCTTAGAAAGTGTGCTAAAAATTTAAGAATGACAAAAGATACAGAACATGTATACATTTTTAGTTTGATGAAATTTAAAGTCGAAAACAAGTTTAAATAAAATCCCTTGTCATGTATTTTTGAATTCATCTATTAATTAGGGTAAAATTTATTAACATTAAGTATGGAATACAAATTTACAAAAGCTATGATTATAAAAATATATGTTTGCGAAAATTGTTAAAAAAGCGTTCAATTTTTGTCCATCTATATTTCAAAATACTAATTATATCTTCATAAATACTAAATTGAATAGTAATACATGTAATATACTGCAATGCGCGCATGAATGTAAGTTTTATTAAAGAAAAAGGTAAAAAGTATTCTTCCCCAGCACATGTAGATACTTACTTAACAAGACTAGAAGCTTATTGTTAAACAAAAATGTTTTGTGCAATTAGCTTAAAATCAACTGGGAAAACAATTACGTAGTTTTATTATTATTTATTTGAGAAGAATATTCTAAACGATTTTATGCATTTTATTTTCGACCAATCAGATTCCTAAGCGTAGTATTTTCTTGGTAGTTCCATTAGAAACTAGGCTAAATTTGGGCACGGTAATATAACACAACATTGGTATTTGTAATGATTTGATTGGCTCAGAGCTGATTTTTTACAAATATACAATGACATATCTTTTTGGGACTTTTGAATAAAAAAAATTATATAAATATTCGTAAAATAGACAACGTTGGTTAAGAAACAGAAATTAAAATCTCAGAGTGAAATATTCACATTCTTTTTTATTATGGCAGAGAATGAAAATAGGAGTGATATCAACATTGTTAATTATCCACTTAATATACACGATTATAATAGCTTATCAAGCACCAACAGCATTGCTACCAAAGGCGATATTGGCCCGACCTTATCAGTTGAATCTTCTAGCCTTATAGAACGGGAAGTTCTCTATCCAAGAAAGCTCGAACGTCCTCCGATTGATAAAAAAGAGAAGGGATTTTGCTGTCGAGAAGGATGCAACAATGAAGTGTACAGACGCAAAAAATTCTTTGAATCTTATTGCTCGAGAGATTGTTATTGGGAGGAAGTAAATCAATTAGAGAGAACTCAAATTACAATTCTTGATGAAAATGATTTAGCATATATTCGTGTTGCTCGGAGATTCAACAAGAGATTAAAATCATCCAAAAAAATCAAGGCCATTTTAAGATTGCAAATGCCCCACCATCTAGCTCAAAAACACCTAGAATATAAGAAAAATTTGGCAATAGAGAAGAACTGTGATGTAAAAGATGTTACATACCGAATGTATCATGGAACAAAAATCGCTCACAGAAATCATGTGGGGCTTGGAAATATAGACACGCTTCATGCTTTTTGTACCGAAAGTACGTGCGGAATGTGTGGAATCACATTCTATGGTAATAGAATTTCTTACTCGAATTTCGTTCATCTGGGCAAATGTAGGCATTTAAAAGTAAAAAGATTCAGACGTTTTTTTTTTTCCTATACATGATACGTTTTAATTATTTTTTGTTCTAAAGTAATGTGGTTTGCAAACGACCCAAAGACATCTTCCTATTATTGTGGATATAGTGAACCCATAAATGCAATGTTTGTGGTAGATATAGCGGCGTCGGAATTCTTACCGATTATCACTGTTAATAAGGATGAGGTCTGATTGTTTTCGACTTTGATTTTTTTTTTAATTTTTATTGGGTAATATTTCCTCTAATGTTTCTTTATTCTTTAGGCTACGCTACCTCGATATCTCATTTTATTTGAAAATAAAACAAAAATAAAACGCTGTACAATCATGTAAATTTAGTTACAAACTAATAGGTTTTATTATATTTAAAATTGTTATTATGCTAAAGTCGGTCCATGATTTATCCGTTCCATTAAACATCTTGAAAAAATAATTTTGTTAACTAAAAAAAAAAAAAACCTTCGGAGATGTATTTATCTTGTGCGATCAGAAGTGTTTACTAAAAAAAGATTGTATCGGTATATTATTTTATCGATATATTTTGGGAATATTCAAATACGTATCGATATTGTATACCTCGAAATATTTTCTTTCCGACAACTATGATGTTATTGGCCACTTCCTTGGCAACTTCCTTGGCATTTCTAGATTTTCTTTTTGATTACATATTACAACAGAAATACGTGTTGCCGCTTATCGTTATTGTTTTGGATATTTTTAGTTTGCTTTATCGTTATAACAGAAATATCCTTAAATGTAAGTAAAAAATCAAGCCACAAGAGAAAAATGAATTAACTCGGCATCAAATGATGATCCATATAACAAATACATGTACGCGTGGAATACGACCCATTTAGATTTTTTTTTTTTTTGGTCAAAACCATTAGTTTCATCGCCATCATGTCATGCTATCAAGATGATTTTGATTGGCTGATTTGATTAAAAAAGAGTGTAGCGCCATTGTACTCTTACTGCGATTTACATATATAATAAATACGTGCGTGAAACTTTTAGGAAAATACGTAAAATCAGCTTTACAAACTTTCAACCTAAACTTCTTGCAGAAATTTTTATTTTATTATATTTAAAAAGTTTGTCAATAGTAATATGTATCATCAATATCCACAACAGCAGCAGCGGCAGCAACCGGCTTATTCGCCTAAAGGAAACCCACAATTACCAACACCACCACCTTCTGGACCAAATACTACGTATACAACATTTTGTTCAGTGCAGGGATGCAATCAATATTGTCAATACACGCCAACTGGACAAATTAATCGCTATTGCGCGCAACATTTATTATCAAATGTCTCTCAAACTTCTGATTATTTTCAACATCATCATAATAATAATAATAATAATAACTACCACAACAATCAAACTCATGGAAGAAATTTTAGTCAACCAAATAATAACCTACCGGATCCAAGGCGGCTTTCAACTAATAGCATACAAAGTGATTCTTCCATCAATTATTTTAATCGCAAATCACCGACATTTACGTATAGTTTACCTCCATCGCCTACATCCCCTAATTATTCAATGAGCTGCATAGAACCAAATTGCCAAAATAATAAGTATATGGATATGCAAGGAAAGATTTATAATTATTGTGGGGGAATTGTCTGCGCTACTACTGGTCGATCCGCATCGACTCCTTTCACTCCAAATCAAAATGCATTCCAGAATGGACAACGAATTCCAAAATGCAAAAAACCCGGATGCAATTTCCGACGTCGCATTAATCCCAATGGATATCTAGAAGACACATGTGGATCGCCTAATTGTTTAGCAAAACCAAATATTCATCAAATTCCAACGATACTTTTGCCAAACGGAATAGCAACTCTAACGAATCCAATAAATCCTCCAATGGTTCCTGCCTCGGCCATAATTGGCCCAATTGATAGTGGACGAAAATGTTCTAATCCTACTTGCGACAAATCAGCATTTGTCGACCCAAAGAATCCAAATCATTTTCAAGCCTTTTGCACTAATAGGTGCTTTTGGTTAGAGGTGTCTACGTTAACTAAAACTAAATTGACTACTATGCCAAAAGATGATATGGACTACGCTCGAATTGCTAAAAATGTGTTGATTGGGTTTCCTTCAATTAATATTAAAGGAATCTTACGACTCCAAATGTCAAAGTCTATAGCTCATGCGCATTTGGAATTGAGAAAGGCGATGGCAAGTAGTGTTAACGTTGATCCTGCAAGAATTACATATCGAGTATATCATGGTACAAATGTAAAGTGTGGCCCACTTGGGATTATTCATGGTGGATCTCTCTGTAATAATCAGGCATGTGGCGTGTGTGGAATTGCGAGGGAAGGAAATAAATCTTCAAAATCAAAGCATGATGGCTGTGAGTATTCTAGAAATTTGCAAGAATCAAAAGAATGATGGAAAATAAATGCTAATCTAAAACTGAATTTTTTTTAGCCATGTTTTTCACCAATAATCCACAAATTGCATACCAATGTGCAGGTCAAGGTAAAACGAAAGCGATATTCGTCACTGATGTTTTATCAATAGATCCCAATTTTAAATCTAATTATGCAGTGAATACCAATGAGGTGAGTTCTATCCTTGATAATGAATACTTATCGGGTATATTGTTCGACATCATTATTAAATTTATCCTTATTGGTTTTTTGATGTAGGCTACACTACCTCGCTTTTTGATTCTTTGTGAATGAGTGCAAATCGCAAGTTTTGATTTTTATAAATATTGTAAATACGTAAAACTATTTTAAATTATCCGTTTATCGTTTCACATTCACTGCACTGCTTTTGATTAAAAAGGAAATTAAATAAAGAAAATTGAGATACGTCGATGTGCACATGTACTTTTTTGCACGAAGATCTATCGTTAAACTTGAAGGGATTCGATGATGCTGTACTTATTTTTCTGTCAGCAAGTAAATATTGTGTTGAATAGAAAGAACATTTAAGAAACATGTAACCATCAAAAATAAATATTTATAAATATTTATATCGAAATACAAAAAATCTAAAACATTTCATGGCGAATAACAACTTTCTTTAACCTGTCGAATAATCAGTATCGGTATCCGAATAATATTCGTTTACGAGCTTCTGAACTTAGCGTTAGAATGATGGATCTCTTATTTATTGCTGAAGAAACACAACTTGGAGATTTCGACAAAATAGAACAACCAGATTGAGGGACACAAATGCTAAATTGATGAAAAAAAGTTGAACATAATACATGCGCACAATGAATCCGGGAACCAAATTACGATCGTAATACAATACTTTGTTTGTGACTTAATCCTTGAAGTTCAAAATACAGATACAAGTTGTAACTCTTATCTACAATGGAAGTTTTCTCTTGAATTAAACATGATATGAAACAAACCAAACTAGAAAACTTCTGCTCATATTTTGCACAAGATCAGAAGAAATAACGAACATGATTGCAATCCAGTTTCAGATCATACTGTATTATATCATCTATCTCACGAAAATTTTTATCAAGATTATCGCTATTACTTTATGAATGAAATACGGTAATAATTAAGAAGTTTATTAAGCACAGTCAATAATGATTTCAAAGAATCGCTAAAATAACTGAAATAAAATCCAAGAAAGGCGAATATTTGTGATACAAGTATCATAAAAATTTGAATTCTAGTCTATATCGATATTTATCACAAAACTGAACTGTCCCAAAAATGACTAACGTTAAAGCAAAAAAAACATGATTTCCCAAAAATGGGTCGTGACGAAATATTAAAATGTTCCACTATTCAATAAAGTGAATCAAACTTTTAAACTTCGCCAAAAAATATCAGCATTTCACAACTGACATTTGGAGCTAAATCACATGTTTTTCAATTCGGATGAACGTGAATATTACTGGAAGCATAATAAACCACTAAGTAAATTGGGTGATATATGGTGTTGGTAATATTGTAGTCATGGAATTATTTTAAATGACGGATGTACGATATTAGTAAAATTATCTTTCACGATATTGATGTATTCGATTGGCCTCCCAATCACCTGACTTCAACCCCCCCCCCCCCGTTTTGAGGTTATAATAATTCATCTTCAAGATTGATAATGTATTTTTAAAATGCGAATAAAAATAAAGACGATAATTTTTTTATTTAGCCTAACTGTATGTATCATCAATAGTGAGTTTGCTGAACAGTTATTTTAATGAATCTCTATCACAAGTATTGTTTTGATGTGAATATTGAAATATTAACTAAGTTTCAAAATGCCGAAATTTCGATTTTCCCTGTAAAATCCCTGTAATCCGTTACAAATTACAGATTGTTACAAGATTTACATGCACCAAAAGTGTTTTTGGTAGGCCACTACTTTCTAATGCTAATTTTTGATTTTCAGGTCAAGAGGTTATTGAAAAAATCTAGAAAATGCCGAAAGTATGTAGCCACCTGTAATTACAAGGTGGCTCTGTAACCACCTGACTGTAATCACCTGCAGGTGGTTATAAGATCAAATTCTTATAAGGTTGCTCTTCACGTGTTTCTTTGATGCTCATGTTTTGTTTGACGTTTGGCCCGATCAATTCAGCATCCATCAATTTTTGAGGCGTGATGCTGTCATTAATTCACGATTTTAATTCGATATTCAAAGTTGATTTATAATTTTACATTGCCTCCGTGAGGAAGTCAAGGAATCAATTAAGTCAATGCTCAAATACGAAAATTTTGTTTGATCGGTTTGACATGTTTTATTGCCTGATTACGGTTTCCTAATCTAACTCATAAGAAAATAGTTTTTATTTGATTGTAAAAAATAAATCACGTATAATAATAAGCTAGAAAATTGATAGCAAACTTAAATTTTAAATGTCAAGTTATCCTTATTTTAGGCCCAAATTTTTTTGAACTTCTCGTTAAACTCATCTCGTACTATTGTGAACCCATACAATACATTTTCATCACTACCATCCATGGTCTCCAATGATGTACAGATAGCATTCAGGGTTAGAGAAAAATCTTTTAACACCTGCCAAAGCTCTCCGGGTCTGATCCAATTTGCTTTAATAAGCGCATTTTCCTGTCCATGCGAGAAGAAATCCAAGAGATATGCATTCTTCAGGTAACGATCGGTTTCCACAAATGGGATACTGTTAGCATCAAGAAATATGTTGCTGCGCAGATGTGATGTCAAGTCATAGACATTTCTAAAACGATCACCCTGACCACTGACGACAGCCATGAATGGCGAACGGGCCGTAAAAGAGACACATGTTTGCATAAGCTGGTCCGTCAAATGATCGAGATTGCTAGACTTAGGCGGAAATTGACTTCCTGACAATGGAAGCTTGTTGTCTGGATCATAGAGAGTCTTCGCATAAGAGATTATATATGCAGAATAAATACGAAGAACGCGATCATTATGTTCATTCAAAGTTCGCTGGATTGATTTGGGAATCGGGTCAAGCACAACCTTGGATGGATATTTTTTTTGGGCCTCCGAGAGAGAGCCATCCGAGCGCAATCGAATCACGTTAAAAAGATTGGAAAGTACGAGCATGAGTGTATCTTTGACATATTGTGAATTTTCGTACACATTTGAGCAGATTTCGTGGAAAACGCCATGCTTATATAAAACTGCAAACGCGAAATTGCTGGGTTCCGTGTAATAGAGGTGATATACTGCTCCTGCGAGATTTAATAATTGACCATCGTAAGTGAGTAAATTTTCCCGTATTAGATACTGAATTGAGAAGTATAGATGGTGTTTGATTTGAGTGGAAAGATACTCCTTTCCTAAACAGAAAAATGAAGTTCCCAAAAATCCCTTAATGGCCTTTTCGGCATAGTCAGTATTTTTGGATTGCGTTAGTAGGAGAAAGCTGCGCAACACCATTGTTGTCGTAAGTGGAAAATGCCCACTTAGGTTTGGTAAATCAGACACGAGAAGCCGTGAAATTTTTGTTTGAGTTAAACCAAAGAAAATGACGTTGCCAACTGGATCGAATCCACGACGACCGCTTCTTCCCGACATTTGTCTGCGGGAAGAAATGGCATAAAAATAGGTTGATTATATGATGCTCAATACAGCATAAGCACTCGCCTGTAATTCAGCGCAGTCAAAAATACCGAGTCACCAGTAAAAATAACCGTTTTACAAGGCATATTTATACCTGTAGAGACAAGAATGTAAATATGTTCATATAATTCCACAGCAAAAAAAAGCAAATATAAATCCACGATTAAATGATGGACGGAGCATTAATCTTTTTTGATAGTTATTAATCTCAAAAGCAGCGCCGAGGCTATAACCACCACGTAAAATGCAAAAAAAAAGATAATCGGAAGAATTGACATACCTAAAGCCAATGTGCCGGTTGCAATTACAACTCGAACATATTTTTTCCGAAACAATATTTCAACAGTTTGCAGATACTTTTTTGGCATTCCTCCATGATGTATACCAATGCCCCTTTTTAATGCTTTCCAAAAGAAAGTTTTCTCCTTGTTCCAACTTTGATGCTCAATTAATTCATCAACTTCTTTATCAGTAATTGACGGATTCATTGGTACAAAACTAAATCTCGGATCATTCTTCTCCCAATCAAAAATCTCTGGGTCGTCATCGTGAACCGCTGAATCAGAAAACTCATCGTCGTCGCGTCGACCTTTCTTTTTCTTCGATTCTGAAATCTTTTTTGAAAGTTTTTCTCTAGCTTCGGTCTGTAATATTGCCGTTTTTTTTCGCTTTTGATATTCTTTGTCGTTTTCTCGTATCTCAGCCTCTTTAGATTCTAATGTTTCGAAGATTTTCAGGGCAAGTGTGTTGCATCCACGACGATCAAAGTGAAAGAAAATAGCTGGGAGTTTATCCTGACTGTTGAGTTCGGCGGCTAGATTGAGTATTGCATATTTCAAGAAATCATCGTCATACATGTCAAATTTTCCCTTGACTTCTTTGACTTCTTGCTTTATGTCAACGTTAGCTTCAGATAGGACAAAACCGCTGGCCTCAAGTTTCGAGAATCGCTTTTCCAGAAGGCTCCTGAAATCATTGATAATTTGTTTAACGAATTGCACTGTACTTTCATTCGTGGACCAATTCCGGAAGGCTTCCTTTATGGTCTTTTCGTATTCACTGGCATCTACCTTTGTGATTGGTATCTTGTCCCGAAACCAATTGTCTGGATTCAGTCGTTTTAGCATTTTTTTATCATTACTACCAGAAACTTGGCACATCTTATCATATAATTGAACACATTCATCGGGCAAGATTTTCATATCTGTTGGAAACCCTTTTTCCTTCAGTATTACCCAAGACAATGCAGAACATGGATGAACCGGAATAAAACAATCAGTTGTTTTTGGATATACCGTCTCAAAAGTAGGGAATGGGAGCGAAGGAATATAAGCAAATTTCACTAATTCTGAATATCTCTTATCGCTCATTATCAGGTGCATCTTATGGCCACGTAATTTTTGTGCCTTTTCAACCCAGCTGTGAAACTCCGATGGGTTTCCAACGGTGGCAGAGAGTGCGAGAATAGGACATTGAGATATGAGAAGAAGATGTTCCCACACTACGCCGCTCTCTGATTCGCCTATAGAATGGATCTCATCAAAGATGATCCGGCGGATCTTTGGGGACCAATCATCAGAGCGGTTTGGTGACAACATGAGTATCTCGAGCATATCTGGCACGGTAACCAGTATCTGACAACAGTCGTGATTCTCGCGGTAGTCACGTGTATAAATGCCCCAATGCGACATTGCACTGGGATAGTTTTTCGTAAATCTTCCATATACCTCTGCTGCAACTTGATTGACAAGCGCTTTGGTAGGTGCCACATAGACAATGATTCCTAAAAAATTTAAATAATAAATATTTATCGCTTAATCATTTCATAATTGCGTTACGTTTCTTACAATACTAACCTTCATCGTCCTCTCTCAATATTTGTTCCATCGCGTAAAAGGCAATGAATGTCTTCCCCGAAGATGTGGGACAACATACCAATGCAGATTCTTTACGGTCAATGATGTTTAACACTTCCACTTGCCAAGAGTCTGGCCTGAACGTCTTTACCCTCGGATCGTCCACTGCATTTGTATCACGAGCCATCGAGTGACCACCGTACTTCATTTGGAATCGCGCGTCTGAAATTCCAACTGAAAGGTTATTAGGTCTCGAAGGGAATTGGAATAAATATTCTGATTGGTTCATGTTGGTTTTTAGAATAAATTCGCGAATCTTCTTTGCTGAGGATTCCATGCCAAGTCGTTCCAAGACCTGCATTTAGTTTGAAGAAATTACCATTATTAAGACTAGTAAACAACTTCATCAAGAATCGTAACTACCTTTTCCAATATCTGTTTTACTTCACTTGTCATGATATCCGAAAATTCGTGGAATATACTAAACACTTGTCGATAAACGTCCATGGCCTTGGAAAAGTCGGTGTGACCATCACGTTTATCCTTATTGAGTTCATCGGCCCAAAACTGTAATTGCAGTTGTAATTTTATGAGCTGTGCCTTCATCATTGTCGGGGGATGTTGCAGCCTCCCCGGATTTTTTAGGAGCCCCAAGAGTCGTTTCAGTTTTTCCTCGGTGCTCTTCAAACTATCGATCTCATCCGACCATGTTTTTAGAATTCGCCGAGAATCAGCGGCAGCTTTCTCAAGAATCGTTTTTTTATTAGCTTCGATAATAGCTTTCCCCTTAGAACTCATTTTGTTTGCCTTAATTGCTTTTTTTTCTTTTTTCTGATTATTTGAGTTCTTTCTATCAACCGTGATCGTCTGATTGTGTGTGGTACCCAGTGATGTAGCATAGGCTTGCATAAATCGCACGTATTTTTGATAATTTCTCTGCTGTTTGCTGGTTTGAATTTTAACTTTATCTAAAGGTTTACTTACGTGCCAATGATATTCGTCGATATACTTTGTTTTGCCGTTTTGACCATATTTTCCATAATCGATTTCTTCATCGACCACAACCGCTTCATCGACGTCTATATTCATGTTGCCAAGGTATTCCTCATAAAATGGGAATCTAAATGGAAGCAAACGAAGTTCCGGCAGACTATTGGTATCCCCAGATAGTGGTGAAAGAATAACAGTAGGGGAACCTGGTAATGTGCTATGGATTTTTGATTGACGATGTTTTAATAGGATATCCAATATCACTTCAGCTTTCTCTTGAATTTCGGATGGTAAGACAAGATCAAGTTCGGATAAAGAAAAAAGAACAGCATATAATCTTGCATCGATAAAGTCGCCTAGGTTACAAGCTAATTTAAAAGCCTTAGCCTGACGTTGCCAATAAGAATCCATGAATAGCTGCGCACATTGTTTATAAAACTCATCCAAAAAAGTGACAACCTCCGGAGATGTTGAGATCAAGGGTTTGTGAGCACGCGCCTTGAGTGGAAGATAGTCTAACAACATAGCATGGTAGATAAATGCTTTTATCACGCCATCAGAAAACCATTGATTTAAAAGGATATAATATACAGAAAGAATTATATAAAGCATTCGTTGACTGCCGGAGCTTTCAAGTCGACAGACTGCGGAAACAGCTTCGTGGTCGTGGATGTCTGTTGATGAAGTGGGGATCGGGAAATGTGTGGACAAAACTTCATGGATCTCTTCCTCAAGATTAGTACAGTCTTGTTTGCTTAAATAATATCCAATCCTGTCGAAAACGAATGCAAAAGCACGAGAATCTTTGAAAAGTAATCCTGGAAGCAGGGCAACGTACACATCTTTCATTATACAGGAAAACATAAAGGCTTGACAAAAGCATGCTAGATTTTTTGCTATAAGTATGACCTCATCTGATGAACTTTTGCTAACTAGCTTGTTCTGCTGTCCATCACCCAGCAAAACGAAAAGAGGTTGCCGTGTGTCAAGAAATTCTTTCCATTCTTCTTCCCACCAATTCTTAAATTCGATTAATTTGACTTTGCTCACATTTTCTTTTAAATGCTCTATTATAGCTTGCCTGACCACCAAAAATTTTGAATTTTCTCTCCAGATGAATTTATGCACCTCAAAAAATGCTAAATAGAAGACGCAATGTCGGTCAAGGAGATTTGAGAGAAATTTTTCGATGAGATATGCAACCCCTAGGAACTGACTGCCGCCTGTTGGGTCTGTGAGATCGAGCCAGTGTGTTTCAGGATCGAAGTAAAACTCAAATAA